TGCTTCAGGTCCCCCTGTGGCGGGCGATATTTTTCGCGTTGTTTCCACGCCTTCGCAGGCACTCGGTGAAGATGCAGGTATCAAGAATTTCTACACCGACGAAGGATTGACCAACGGACTTCAATACACCTATGCGGTCACCTCATTCGATAGGGGCAATCCGAAAGCTGGGCTTATCTCAATGGAGAGTAGCCAGATTGAGACGATGCTCCACGTTGTCCCACGCGCCCAACCCGCTGGGTATCGAGAGGCAACTGCTGATGTGGAGGGTCAAGGAGTAGGAGTCGTCACCGTTGAACCGATGGTGCTCGCACCAAACAAGGTGACGGGAGATCAATATAAAATCGTCTGGCAGGGTGCGAAACAGATAGACTCCGGTGCGTATATCACAGGTCCCGGATATCAACCACCTTCCTATGAGATTATCAACATGAGGGACAGATCAAACGGTGGTGGAGCAGCAACCTTTTGATTGGTATGACCCTGAACACGGCGAAGCTGTTGAGGTGCTCTCCCCGATGTTTGATGGAATTATCCTAAAGATAACGGGGGTTGATGTGACTTACGGGAGTCCAACCGAAAACCCAATCAACAACGTCGAACTGACCGCAGGCTCCGTTCCGGGGTGGACGGTGGACATTCAATCTCCCGGTGCCGGGGAGAACACTTGGCCCAATATCTTCTGGGCAACGTATTACCGCCCGCATAGGTACTCGATCACATTCATTGACGATACACACGTCAGGGTGGTGGACGAAGATACGGGCGAGGGGATTCCATTCAACGACCAACGCGCCGAGGGATACGCAATCCTAGGGGCAGGTTGGGTTGATACATATAGCCGAGAAGCCACACCGGACTTTTTTCGGATTTACATTCGGGGGGCGTACGTCTACATAAAAGATCCCAACCATGAAATCTCCGCTGGGGATGTATTCATGGTTGAGATGGGGGGTATCAGTGCGCCGCGGGATGACGATGAATTTCTGTTGACGACACAAGACGCGTCGCTCGCTGCTGAAGACATCAAAGCAGATTTAGAACGTATCCGCGTCGTGCCAAATCCCTACTTCATCACGAATAGGGCTGTAACTGCTGAAGGAACGGATAAGATCTTCTTCACGCACCTGCCGCCACGGTGTACCATTCGGATTTATACGTTGGTGGGTGAGTTGGTGCGGGAGATCGAGCACGAGAGTTTCGCACCCTTCAACGCAGATGAACGTTTGGCACAAGGTGACAAGGGTGGCACAGAGACATTTGACCTTCTTAATCTCTACAATCAAGCCCTTGTGAGTGGAGTCTATATCTATCACGTTGAAGCACGTGATGACAGCAATGATGTTATCGGGAATAAGATCGGTCGGTTTGCGATCATTCGATAAAAGGGGATAAACTAGGGTAAGCACATGCACAACACTATTTTTAAGAATCAAGCAAGGTGGCGATTCGTCTCAACAGTTTCTAGTCTCTTGGTTATCGTTACGCTTTTATGGACAGTCCCAAGTGATGCGACCACCAATGTCGGGACTGCCGGCGCACAGTTTCTGAAAATTGGACCGGGGGCGCGGGTGGACAGTTTGGGCGGTGCGTTCGGCGGGCTTGCCAACGATGCCACCAGCATCTACTGGAATCCAGCCGGGTTAAGTCAACTCAAACAGACCAGCTTTTCAGACACACATACAATATGGCTTGCCGATACCCGATACAACTACCTCGCGTTCGCCACGCCGGTGGAAAAGGTAGGCACCTTGGGCGCGAGTGTTACATTCCTCAACGTCCCCGATACGGAAATCACAACGCTTGCAAAGCCAGACGGGACGGGGCTGTGGTACTCCGCATGGGATGCGGCGGTGTCGGTGGCGTATTCCAGACAACTCTACGAAAAAGAGTCGGGGGCCAATCTCTCCTTCGGCATCAACGCCAAATACATCCATCAGCAGATCCATCGGGAAAGTGCTACAGGGGTTGCTATTGACGTTGGGACTTTATACCATACAGGTTGGAGAAGTTTACGCATCGGGATGTGTTTCTCGAACTTCGGTCCCGAGATGCGCTTCAGCGGTCCTGACCTTGTGACCGGTGCTGAAGAAGCGGGGGATTCCAGAAATGCGGACTATCGCCCGTATCCGGACACGACGAATCCGACGCGAAAGGCTGAACTAGAAACCGTAGAGTTTCCGTTACCGTCCAACTTCCGGCTCGGCATCGCCTACGATCTGCTTGATAGTGGGGATAACCTCCTCACCGTCGCACTTGACGCTAACCATCCGAACGACAACAGCGAACGGCTAAATATCGGGTTGGAGTACTGGTATAGAAAGATGGCAGCGATTCGTGGAGGTTATAAATTGCGCTTGGGTCCCGACAGTAGTGATGATGAAGAGGGGCTTACGCTCGGATTGGGTATCCACATGAATTTTGCCTCAACAATGCTGTCCCTAGATTATGCGTTCGCTGACTTTGGGTATCTGCAACGGGCACATCGCGTGAGCCTAGGCTTGAAATTCTGAGAACTTCTAACAAAAATCCGCTGTTGAAGCAAAGGAGCAACACTGTGCTTTTCAACAAAACCCGCGCACAGGAGTATATGCGCCGCTGCGGTGTGGATGTCTTGGTAGCAACTTCGCCGGTCAACATCACCTATTTTTCGGATTATCGGTGCTGGATTGATCCGCTGTTCAAGGCGTATATGATGGTGCCGGGCGCACCAAGCGATCCCGATCCGACCGCCGCTTATGCAATCTTTCCATTAGAGGGGGAACCCGCGCTTGTGGCGAGTCCGACGTTTGCAGTGAACGCCTCCGATCTGTGGGTGCGAGACGTGCATATCTTCGGTGACCACGGGCTGGATGATTCGCTGCCGCTGCCGGCGTTGTCCGATGCGGAGCAACGTATCTTTGATATACTCCATAGACCGCAGCAAAACGCCACACCTATCGATGCGCTCTTGAGCGTTCTCACAGCACGAGGGTTGACTGACGCTCGAATCGGAATCGAGATGGAGGGGTTATCACCAAGAGCAAAAGAAGCAATCGAGGCGAGGGCTGCCAAAGGCACAGATCAAGGATTGCTCAAACCTTATCCGCCTCATTCGGATGGTCAAGACCGAAGATGAACTGTCACGATTGATCCGTTCAGCGGAAATCAGCGAGACAGCAGCGATGGAAGCACTCGCGCTTGCTCGACCGGGGCAGCCAATCGCCGATGTCGTCCAACACTATCGGCAGCAGATCGCCAAGGATGGCGCAGATTTCGATCACTTTGCGTTTGGTGTTCGCGGTTTGGGGCTTGCCACGGAGCCAAACTACATCTTGACCGACGACGACATACTCTATGTAGACTTTGGCTGCATTTATGAAGGTTGTTTCTCCGACAGCGGCACAACATTAACTATGCGCGAACCGTCGGCGACGTTGATTGGCAGGCATAGAGCATTGCGGGAATGCGTTGAGGCAGGAGTGGAAGCAATGACGCCGGGTGCAAAAGCGTCTGCCGCCCAAGCTGCCATGTGGAAAACACTCAACGCACACGGCATCACAGCCTCATCGCCTCATGGACATGGGTTGGGTTTGGAAGTCCGCGATTACCCGATTATCGTCGCAGATAATGGGCAGCGGATTCATGATGATTGCGTGGAGGTCCCATCAGATCTACCGCTTGAGGTGGACATGGTTCTCAATCTGGAAGCGATGATTTCGATGCCGGGCGTTGGGTCGCTACACATTGAGAGATCGTTCGTTGTAACACCTAGCGGTAGCCGCCCACTGATCCCACAGGATCGGACACGACCTGTGCAACCGGACTAGGCAAGAGGGCGGGGTAACCCCGCCCCCTGATGTATCGGGATGCAAGCACCTACGGTTTCTTAACATGAGCGAATCTGTTTAGACACGGGCAAACTTCTGAAACCGCTGTCCGCGACCCGGCTCGCCGATTTCAGCAACGTAGATGCTGCCTTCGTCATCAACGCAAAGTCCATGCGCAGACTGGATGATACCGTTGTTTTCCGCACCGGAGAACCGACTCAACCGCTCTCCTTCCGGGGTCCAGACGCTGACACGTGAGCCCGCCCCCTGCTCAACCACATAAATCATATTGTCATCAGTTATCCACACATCGCCGGGAGCAACTACATCCGTCCATGTTTCCATGTGTTTTCCATCGGGATCGAAGATCTGGATCCGATTGTTCTCACGGTCACAGACGATGACGCGCCCCGTTTTATCACACCCGATATTATGGACCACTGCGAATTCACCCGGACCGCTGCCCGCCTCGCCCCATGCTAGAAGGTGCTCACCCTCTTTGGAATATTTATGAACGAGGCGATTGCCGTATCCATCCGAGACGTAGATCTCCCCTTCTGGACCGAGTGCCACACCGGTGGGCATGTTATACTCGCGTTTATGGTATGTCACGCCAGCGACACCGCGTGTTCCCCACTCGCGCTCCAAGTCACCGAGCAGCGTGTAACGGCGCACGATATGCTGCCACGCATCGGTCAGGTAAACTTCATCGTCAGGACCGATGAAGATTCCGTGTGATTGGCTAATCAGATGCGGAGAAACACCGAAATCTCCATACCCCCACGAGGTGACGAAGTTCCCCTCTTTGTCAAAAACAACAACCGGATGTATACCGCGGGTAAAGGCGAAGATTCGTCCCTTGGAATCGATTGCTGCATCCGATACCATAGAGAAAACCCAACCCTCCGGCAGTTTTGGCCATCCGTCAACTAATTCATATTTATAGTCGCCCTCTCCTAATGCCATGTTGTCCCTCCAAAATTGAATTTTGAAATGATGCGTTTCTATTTTAGCATGTTTGCAGGTTTGGATCAATAACAAAGCAGAACGTCTTCGAGAATAAAAAAGGGTTCACACGAGAATGAAACACTTCATTCTCGTGTGAACCCATGAAACCAACATAGCGGTGACTATTTTTTAAGAGATTCTTTCGCGCAGCGTGACAGCCTTCAACTTCACCGGATAATTAACTTACAGCCCTTCTTCCGCCTCATCCGGATCTGTCACATCGTCCTCATCATAGACTTCTTCGGTTGGCTGAAGTTCTTCCAACGTCTCTACCTCCTCGTCTTCCTCGCTATCCATGGAAGGGAATGGAGACTCTTCCAAGAGTTCTTCCGGTTTATCCGATTCCTCGTGGGCGATCCGTCCTAATTTAAGTTCATCAATTGCAGCCGTTACAGGCTTTTCAGCATTAGCAACCAACATAGGCAGGCTATTTTCAGCATTGATTTCACGTGCTCGTTTCGCTGCGATATTCACAGCCAAATACTTGTTACCGCCCTGTTCCAAGATATCCTCAAGATAGATAAGTGGCATTCTGAGTAACCTCGCAATTTATAGGTAATTTGGGTAAACCAAATTTGGGAAGTATATATTATCAGTGATTGTCCAAATTGTCAAGACAATTTCTACCAATCTAATCCACCAAACACTTCAGAGCCGGATGTCGTTTGTCTATCACCAAACACCTAAACCAATCTCATGCCGTTTCGTCCAAGTATTAGGGAAAAATTCAGCACAAATAGGGGAGGAGCAGAAATGAAAATTGGTGAAGGATTTGTAGTCGGATTTGCAGCGATTCACGCGAATAAGATGCGGTCACTCTTGACGATGCTTGGGATTGTCATTGGCATCGCCTCCGTGTTAGCGATGATTGCTATTGGCGATGGAGCAAAGCTAATTGTGCTTCAGGATGCCCAAAAAATTGGCGGTGCCAATCAAGTCACGCTGTATCGGAGCGGCCATATCCGTAAAGGAAATCGTTGGGTGCGGAATCGGAGTAACGAATATTTTGAGTATGAAGATGTGCTAGCGATTGAAGCCGAATGTCCTTCCGTCAAGGGAGTCATTCCCCGTGTTCCTCGGTGGCGTGGGGTTCTGGTTCAAGCGGAAGGCGGTGCCGAAAAGCGGACGGGATATGAAGGTATTACACCTTTCTACCAAGTTGGAATGGACTGGGAGTCTGCAAGCGGGCGTTTTATCACAGAGGACGATGTTGCCAATCGGACCAAAGTCTGTGTCCTTGGATCGGAAGTGGCAAGCGAACTCTTTCAGGACCAAAATCCAGTTGGTAAAACAATCAAAATCGCACGCGGCAGTGGTAACAGGTTTCGCCGCGGGGGGCGACGCAGTCAGAACAGAAGTATGGAACAGTTTACCGTTGTGGGCGTGATGACGCAGCGCGGGAGAAGTCTTCGTTTTGGGTGGAATCTGGATGACCGGGTATTCCTCCCCCTGACGACGGTTCAAGAGCGGTTTACGGGTAATGACCGAGTCACAATGATTTCCGTCCAAGCAAAGAGCATGGAATTGGTTGAAAAAGCCAAGGAAGAGGTTACAGCGGTAATCCGGAAACGGCATCGCAATCAGGATAATTTCTTTAATGTCTGGGAGATGAGAGCGGGCATGGAGCAACTGCTCAAAATTGGCAAGATTATCAAAATCGTGCTCGGTGTCATCGCAGGATTTTCATTGCTTGTGGGTGGCATCGGCATCATGAACATGATGTTGGTGTCTGTAACGGAGCGGACCCGAGAAATCGGCTTACGCAAAGCAGTTGGTGCCAAACGGCGGGACATCCTCCTCCAATTTTTGATTGAAGCAATTACGATGTGCAGTATCGGTGGGGTAATCGGTATTGGATTGGGTGTTGCTGCTGGACACGGGATGGCAAATATTGCGGTAAACATTGTTAAGGTTGTCCCGGAGTGGCCCGCTATCGTTTCCACGCAATGGATGATTATTTCAGTTGTCTTTTCAGCACTTATTGGTATTGTCTTCGGCGTCTATCCTGCGGTAAAAGCCGCACAACTTTCGCCCATCGAAGCGTTGAGGACCGAATAGAAACGTTAGTAAATAAGCATTAACGAACTGGTGAACAACGGAACGAATCAATCAAGGGAGAAAATCGCATGAATATCATCGAATGTATTATGGTTGGACTTGCCAGCTTGCGTCGCAATCCGCTGCGTTCTGGATTGACTATCTTGGGTATTGCCATCGGTGTTGGAGCGGTGGTGAGTATGGTTTCAGTCGGTGATGGTTCACGCGCGTTGGTATTAGGTGAAATAGAACGTACCGGCGGATTGACCATGATTGAGATTACTCGGGACGATTGGGATCGGCAATCGGGGACATTCAGCAGAAGGGCGGGACGTACCCTGAGACGCTGGCGTAGAAACCGTGCAGAACACCTAGAAACCCAAGATGTATACGAAATCATGGAAAAAGGGAGGGGTGTTGTTCATGTGGTCGGTGAAGATGACATGCCCGGCTGGAATGTATATCATGATGGAGCGAGTAGGAACTCTAGGGTGATTGCAGGGACTGGGGGGTATGATCGATCACACAATTGGCATCCAATCATGGGGCGCTTCTTCACCGAAGAGGAGGTTGAAAATGCGAGCACGGTTACCGTTATCGGCTATAAACTCTATGATGAAGTCTTCAAAGGTGAGGACCCAATCGGCAAAGAAATGAAGGCGACACGGACAACGAGTTGGGGACCCCGATATGACGTGCGCTTGACGGTGATCGGTGTGATGGAAGAAAAAGGCGATGCGATGGATACCGAAGGCTGGGATGAACGTTTTATCATTCCCCTCACAACATTTCAGCAGCGCTTTACCGGACGGAAGGAGGTCGAGCGTATCCGTGTGGAGGCAGCAAGTCTTGATGAGGTTGAAATCGCGAAAGAAGAAGCGAAGCACATCTTGGGAAGGATGCACAACAATTCTGGAGAGGAATATCAATACTGGACAGCGCAGGAGGAATTGGCAACCGCCGAAAAAATCGGGGATACGATGAAATATTTAATGGGCGGGATCGCGCTGATTGCGCTTTTTGTGGCAGGAATCGGTATCATGAATATCATGCTGGTCTCAGTCACAGAACGAACAAAGGAGATCGGTCTGCGCAAGGCACTTGGGGCAAAGCGGCGCGACATCTTGATGCAGTTTCTGATCGAGGCGTTGGTCTTGAGCATAACAGGCGGTATCTTCGGCGCAATTCTCGGTATTTTTCTAGGGAAAGGTAGTGCCATGTTAATCGCCAAGTTTGTGTGGGAAGGTAGCAATTGGCCCTCAGTCATTTCCTACTCTACCATGATTATCGCCATGGGTGTCTCTGTGAGCATTGGGGTTATCTTCGGATTGTATCCCGCCTACAGAGCGGCAATTTTAATGCCGATAGAAGCGTTGAGGGAGGTGCCGGGAGATGAGGGCATCAAGATTGCCGGAGAAGAATTTAAACTTGCCCCCCTTGCTGGAAGATTTTGGGGACAGCTACTGGACAGCTTGGTCTGCGCTGCCATCGTCGCTATTCCGTTTGGTGCCTGGACGCGCATCGGTCTAGAAGGCACCAATATTGTGCTCTGGGTTGCTGCCTCCATTGCGTTACTGTATTTACTTTTTCAAGATGCCCTAAACGGACGGAGCCTTGGTAAACGACTCATGAAAGCACAAGTCGTTGATTCAAAGAGTGGGTTGCCTTGCAATTTGTGGCAATCTGCTCTTCGCAATCTGTCGCTGCCGATACTTAGCGTGATTGATTGTGTCTTCATCTTAGGAGAGAATAAACAACGACTGGGTGATAAACTTTCAAAGACACTCGTGGTTAAGGTTACATAAGGTGTTAAACTAGGCTTCAATTATCAACAAAGGAGTGATCAAATAGTGAAAAAGATTATAGGAGCTGCTGCGGTCCTTATTTTAGCGACAACCCTCATGTCATGCGAATGGATTAGAGGGCGTGGGAAAAAAGAGGATCGCAGCTGATAAACGGATTGAAGTGGTCAGAAATGGAGATTTCCAGAAGTTAATTAGCGCGACAGGAAATCTCGAAGCACTCATTGATGTCGAAGTTAAGGCAAACGTTGCGGGCGAAATCGTTAAACTGTATGTGAATGATGGGGACTATGTTGAGAAGGACCAGATATTGCTGGAGATAGATCCGGAACAGTACGTCGAAGAAAAGAACCAGGCTGAAGCCGATGTCAATACTGCTAGGGCACAACTCAGGCAAGCGGAACTCAGCATTATGTTGAAAACCGAAGAGCTTGATAGCGCACGCCAACAAGCCGAGGATAATGTCAAAATTGTCAGATCGAATTTAAGGACAACCTTAGCAACTTCACAAACACAGATTACTTCGGCTGAAACGGACATCCAAACGACGCTGAACCAGTTGGATCAAGATAATATTGCGCTGGAGCAGGCGAAGATCGAACTCAACCGGGCAGAAATAAGGCTCGCAGAGCTTGAAACAGAACTTGAGTCCGTCAAAGTGGAGCGAGATAATGCCCTATCTGAAAGGAATCGGAACAAGGAACTGTTTGAGAAGAAACTGGTTTCTAAGAGGTCCCTGGAGGAGGCGGAATCGAGATATGCGAATGCAGAATCGCAATATAAGACAGCTGAAAAGCGATTAGAGTCTCAGCGGCAAACTGTCAATTCTCAAAATAAAACTATCGATACAAGAAAAAGTGCAATCGCAAACCGTGAACTAACCAAGACGTATCGACAACTGAATTTGAAGGAACTCCATGAAATGCGAAAGGCGGCAGAGGAGGAGAAAAACCTCCAACTGCAAATTGCCCAAACCCGCCTTGCGGAGATTGAAGATACTCTCGAAAACGAAAAAACCGTCACTGAACAAGGGGAAGTGAGCGCGCAAGCGAATCTCCTGCGACGTCGGAGTAGCCTGAAGAACCAAGAGGAATTTTTGGAATGGACAACCATCAAGGCACCGATGGCTGGCACTGTGACCCTCCTCGAAATTGAAGAGGGGGAGATTGTGACCTCCGGTCGCTCGGCATTCTCGCAGAGTCCACCGTTGATGACAATTGCAGATCTATCAAAAATGGTGGTCAAGACCTACATCAACGAAGTCGATATGGAACGACTCGGGATGAATCAGAAGGCAAACATCAAAGCTGACGCATATAAGGACAAAATATACGAGGGTCGCGTCGCCGAAATCTCTCCGAGTGGCGAGGAACGAGATAACATTATCACCTTCGAGGTGATGGTTGAGGTGGTCGGCTCACCCTCTGAGCTGCGTCCCGGCATGAGTGCCGATGTCGATGTTATTACCTACGAGGAGAAAGATGTCTTGATGCTGCCGATAGATGCAGTCCAAGAGGAAACATCGGCAATCGCCACGGCGAAAGTCGGTGCTGATGTAGATGCTTTCAAAACAGACCAAGAAATTGAACTCAAAACTTTAACCGGAAAGAGCTTCAACGGAAAGGTAACTAGCATCAGTGGAGACCGATTGACAATCAGTCTCGATAGCTCACAGCGAGGCTTACGTGATGGCGAACGAACCTTCACACTTCTTGTGAATGGTAAGCAGAAGGCGGACGGGGTTTCGACAGATATTAAAATCACGAAAGATAAGTTCGTCATGCTTGATTCAGCAGGCGGCATTGAAATAGGGAACGATGCCTCAAAAGGAAAACGAGTTTCTATTGAGGTGGGCGAGCAGAACGAGACCGACGTCACTATCAAGAGTGGACTGGTAGAAGACGATCGGGTGATCTTACCTAAGCGGCAGGCACCGGCAGAAGACCAATTTTAATCGGTCCGTTCAAGATGCGAGCGCCTCGGGCAACCGAGGCGCTTTTTTTATGCCTTTTTACACTTTTCTTGCTTTGACAGCGGATTCTATCCGTGATAGAATGCCGGAGGGTAGTATACAGACTGAAGAAATAGGCATGATAATATGAAATTGCAACTCGCTTTGGACTCAAGCAATAGTCAAGAAGCCAAACGCATCCTTGAGAAAGTTAGTGATCTCGTGGATATTGTCGAGGTCGGCACACCTCTGCTCATGAAAGAAGGGGTAAAGGTTGTTACGGAGATCAAGAGTGCCTATCCTCAGCTTGAGGTGCTAGCGGATCTCAAAATCATGGATGCCGGCGATATTGAGGCAAGCATTGGATTTGAAGCGGGGGCAGATATTGTGACAGTGCTTGGAGTGGCGCATGACGTTACGATTGGCCGCGCTGTGAACCAAGCCCGTACCCTCAGTAAGAAGGTAATGATAGACCTGATAGCGGTCAGTGATGTTCGAGCGCGCATAGATCAGATTGATGCCATTGCTCCAGACTACTGCTGCGTCCATACAGCCTTTGACCTCCAAGACCACGGTATGGATCCCCTGCGAGAAATTCAACTCGTTCAATCCGCTCTGAAGCGGACGCAGATGGCGGTGGCGGGCGGGATAAATCCGGGGATCTTGCCAGACATTCTTGCCTATCATCCGGCGGTTGTCATTGTGGGCGGTTTCATCACAAACCATCCAGAACCCCGTCAAGCGGCTCTCCAAATCAAAGAATTACTGGCTTAAAGAAGGGAAATCGGTGAATATACAGGCATATATCAGCCAGATCCTTGACGAACTGGGTACAACCATGGGGCATGTCTGCAACGATTCGGCGGAAAAACTGGCTGATGCGATCATAGATGCCCAAACAATCTTTGTTGTTGGTGCAGGCAGATCTGGTTTGGCGATGAAAAGTTTTGCCATGCGCTTGATGCACATGGGCTTTGATGCTTATGTCGTAGGAGAGACCGTAACCCCTAGCATCACAGAGAAAGATGTGCTACTGATTGGCTCTGGTTCGGGTTCAACCAGTAGCTTGGTGGTCGGTGCCAACAAAGCCGATGCAATCGGTGCAACCATCTGCCTCATCACCATCGACGAAAACTCACCAATTGGCAAACTGGCAGCGATGGTTCTCACCATTCCTGCCCCTTCACCAAAGATTGACAGAGAACTCGGTTTCCGTTCAGTGCAGCCAATGGGATCTCTGTTTGAACAGAGCCTCCTGTTGACATTGGATGCGATCGTCCTCCTGCTGATGGAGAAAACGGGGAAAACGACGGAGTTGATGTTTACGAGACACGCCAATCTGGAATAAAAGTAAGGATAGGCTTGCCCATGATTATTGACGCGCATTCCCACATCTTCCCCGAAGTTCAAGGTGCGACGGGGAGAGGTCCCACCCGCGGACTGGGTTACGGTCGCATTGCCGTTGGCGATGAAGAAACCCAACTGTTGCCACCGTATAATGAAACAACCGTATTCACGCCTGAAATGCTTCTGGCAAATATGGATTGGGCAGGTGTTGCCAAAGCAGTGTTACTCCAAGGACCGTTTTATGGGGAATGTAATTCGTATGTTCTCGAGGCACTGAACCGCTATCCGGATCGCCTCGTCGGCGCAGCGTATTTCGATCCCATGGGGACCTGAACAATCGCCAAGAATTTGAGACTCTTACGGCGTCTTCGGGCTTTCGGGTGGTCAAACTAGAATGCTCTGAGGCGACGGGACTGTGTGGCTTACACCCCAATGCTAGACTCGATATGCCCAACATCGCTTGGCTCTGGGACGAACTTGAACGTCGTGGATTGGTGCTGACCCTCGATTTAGGGGCTATAGGCAGCCGTTCTTATCAGACCGGTGCTGTGCGTGCTATTGCAGAGGGACATCCGGATCTGCGGATCGTTATCGCACATCTGGGGCAGCCAAATCCGTCGGCAGAAACGGATGTGGCACGCTGGGACTTATGGCAGGAGCAGATCGACCTCGGACAGCTGCCCAATGTGTGGTTTGATACCGCCGCTTTGCCAGCCTATCTGCCGGATGAGGATTTTCCTTATCCAACCGCGGAGCGGTATCTCCATCTCGCGCTTGAACGCATCGGCCCATCGAAAATCTTATGGGGAACGGATCTGCCGGGACTGCTGCGTCACTTAAACTATCCACAACTGGTAAAGCTAGCAAAACTACACACACAGTCGCTCTCACCCGATGAACAAGCGATGATCCTCGGAGAAAATGCGATGCGCGTTTACGGCACTGATTAAATCGGTCAGTAGAGCGGGTTAGGAAAGGAAGGGCGAATAAAATGCATCAAGACGCGGAAATCTTGGTTGTCGGGTTGGGCGCGATGGGGAGTGCTGCCCTATATCACCTCGCCCGTCAAGGTGCTGCACCGGTTGGCATAGATCAATACCCCGTCGGTCATACACACGGCAGTTCTCACGGTCATTCAAGGGCATTTCGAGCCTTCTATAACGACGCCGTATACGTAACCTTAGTGAAAGCTGCCCTTCCACTGTGGCAGGAATTAGAGACGCTTTCCGGTGAACAACTGCTTACGCCCAACGGTATGTTAGCCTTTGCCAAACCGGGGAACGAACGATTGGATGAAAATATCCGTGTCATGCAGGAAACGAAAACGGTACACGAGGTGTTGACAGCTGAAGAAGTTGCCGCCCGATTTCCAGCACTTCAACTCCCGGCAGACACCGTTGCCTGCTACACACCGGACTCAGGTTTCCTTAACGCAAGTCGTTGTGTTCGGACGCATGTATCACAAGCCGAGCGTTTCGGGGCAACAGTTCATAACGGGGTTAGTGTCCACCGCATTGACATCAGCAAGGAACATCCTGAAGTTGAAACGTCGGCAGGCAGTTATCGTTGCAAACGACTTATCGTTGCTCCCGGACCGTGGGCTTCGCAGCTGCTCAAAGACCTCTCGCTGCCGCTCCAAGTAACACGGCAGCAGAAATTTTATTTCCAACCGCAGGACGGAGGAGCGTTGTACCAACCAGACCGTCTGCCCGTCTACGCAGACTATGACCTGCACTACTACGGCTTTCCCCACTACGGTCCCGGAATCAAGGTAGCTGATGACGGGCATGGACCCGTGACCACTCCTGAAACGGTTGATCGGGGGCTAGACTTGGACGTACAAAATGCGCTGGAACAGTGGCTCAAAACAATTATGCCCGGAGTCAACCCTTCCTTCGTCGAAGGTTCGACCTGTATGTATACGCTCACGCCTGACCACGATTTTCTCATCGGGCATCATCCGCTGAATTCAAACATCTTTGTCGGGGCAGGATTCTCAGGACACGGCTTCAAGTTTTCAACCATCGTCGGTAAGATCCTCGCTGAACTCGCCGCTGACGGCAAAACGGATTATCCGATCGACAAATTCCGACTTAGCCGTTTTGGATAGACTGACTAGTCTTTGGAAGGATGGTATCCGCCATCTGGATAGAGAAAGTACATATTTTTTTAGGCAAATCCTAACAAACAATCGCTGAAAAATGAGGTAAACCAATGGCTAAAACTTATCGTACTGGTATTATTGGCTGTGGTGGGATGGGACGCGCTCACTCGAACGCTTACACCCAAAATCCCGCAACCGAATTGGTTGCGGTAATGGATGTGAACACGGAATCGGCGAAACGCCTTTCCGATGAGTTCTCTATTCCCGCTGTGTATACCGACTACAACCAGATGTTAGAAAAGGAAGCGCTCGATATTGTGAGCATCACGACGTGGCAGGGAGTCCGCGCTGAGATTACGATTGCTGCGGCAAAGGCGGGAGTCAAAGGCATCATTGGCGAAAAACCGATGGCGGCTGCCCTAGGGGAAGTAGACGCTATGATTGCAGCATGTGATGAGCATGGTGCTAAGTTAGTCATCGGACATAACGGACGTTTCAACCCAGCAAATACCGAGATTCGGAGGCTTGTCCAAGACGGTGCTATCGGACAACCGACGCTGCTCCATCGGAGGTCGAAGCCGAATGCAGGTTTGCTCAATATCGGCACACATGCCATCGACGGGATGCGATACCATCTGTCGGATCCGGAAACGCTCTGGGTGATTGGTCAGGTTTCTCGTACCACTAACCGATGGGAACGTCGTACACGATGTGAAGATTTGTGTATGGGGTTGATCTGCTTTGAAGGCGGAGCACGCGGTATCTATGAAAGCGACCTGCCCGAACCCACAGTCTCGGCAGCGATAGTCTCCGGCACAGATGGACAAATCAAAATGGGAGAGGATGGGACTGTACTGCTTCAGAACAATCAAGCGAGCGGTTGGCAGGAAATTCAACCGCGCCCGGAGCCGATCGATCAGTACCAAGAGCTAATTGATTGGATGGAGGGAAAAATTACTGAACATCGAAGCACGGGACGACAGGCACGGTATACGATGGAAATCATGATGGCGATCTACGAGTCGTTACGGATCAAAAATGTGGTCACGATGCCGCTCGAAACCAGCGAATCGCCGCTTGAACTGCTGATGGATGAGGGTGTTTTCCCTGAGTTGACAGAGGGACGTTACGATATTCGAAGACCTTTTCCAGAACAAGGAAAGCGCACATAAACCAGTCGATTTCATCTAATCTGGAGGGGGATTCTATGAAACTCACCGAACAACAGATCGATTTTTTCAACACCTTTGGCTATCTAGCATTTCCCAACCTCTTCTCGTCCGACGAGGTCGCTTGGATCATCGAAGAATTTGACTTCTCCATCCAAAACTTCGGCGAAGGTAAAGCACACGATGGCTCAAAGCGAACCATGTTCGGCGGGCCCATCGAGCATCGTCCAAGGCTTTGCTCACTGCTAGATGATCCGCGTGTTCTAGGTGTTGCAGGTGGGGTTTTGGGTGAGGATTTCAACTACGCCAGCGGTGACGGTAATTATTATACCGGCGATACGGGTTGGCACCCAGATGGTAATTGGGGACAACTTTTTTCCTGCAAGATCGCATTCTATCTCGATTCACTGACAGCCGACACCGGCTGTCTGCGAGTGATCCCCGGCAGCCAGCGTCCAGAACATTTTGTGAGAGCGGAAAAGATAAATCCGAACCAATCCGAAGAACTTTTCGGCGTTCCACCACAGGAATTTCCCGGCAGCGTTGCGTTGGAAACGAATCCGGGAGATCTGGTTATCTTTAATCACGACACCTATCACGCTTCCTTCGGTGGTGGTGCACAGCGTCGGATGTTCACAATGAACCTGACCCGCCACTGCACAACCGAGCCAGACCTAGAGACCTTGCGCAAGTACTTGAGCATTCATTCACCCGGTGGCTACAACGTCGACACCGGGGCAAGCATGTACTATCCGACCATACTCGATACCGCCGATGAGAAACGGCTGGTTCATCTTTGGCAATGTGTTGAGATCCACGATGAACTGTTTCCGCAACACGCTCGGAAGGCCTATTCAAATCTTCGCCCAGATTTCTTGAGGAATTAAGACGATGAATTTTGAAGAGATTAAGCGGCGTCTGTTAGCACTCGATACCGCCTGCGTATGCGATGGTAATAAGGCAGGGCGAGCTGCCGACCCCACGGTTACAGAGTTAAGGATTATCGATCCCGCCATCCGCCCGATCCGAACCGGACTCAAACTTGTCGGGGGGGCACACACAGTAACCTGTCATGAAGACTTTCTCACGGTGATCAAGGGGTTACGAGATGCTGAACCGGGGGAGGTGCTTGTGATTGATACTCAGGGGAGTCGTCGTGCGGTGGCGGGTGAACTGTTTCCGACAGAGGCAGCGCGGAAAGGGTTAGCGGGTATCGTCATAGATGGTCCCTGCCGCGATACCAAAACGATCCGAACTTTAGATGTGCCCTACTATGCACGGTCCTTCAACCCAATAGCGGGGACAACCGCTAAGATCTTTGAGACGCAAATCCCGATCACCTGCGGTGGCGTTATCGTGAATCCGGGGGATATTATCTTCGGCGACGATGATGGGCTTATTGTAGGGTCCATTGATGAACTATCAGCAGCAATTCCAATCGCCGAGGAAATCCAGCGGAAGGAAGATCTGATGCTAGAGCAGATGGCAGCAGGTGTGAGTCTGTTTGAGATGTTGAATTTCGAGGAGCATTACGCAGCGGTATGCGCTGGAAAAGAGAGCAAGCTAGAATTTACGGTTTAAGCAAAACGGTCAAATGCTTACAGGGTCACAACCGTATCGGTCTGGAACGATTTAATCGCCGCCTCGATGATTTCCTGCGCTGCAAGGCCTGCGGCACCAGAAGCATCAATTTCATCGGGTGAAATCCCATCCACAAGTTGTTGAATCCACGCACCAATCCGTGTTGGGAAGGTATCCGTGAACGAATCCATGTGTCCCTCCGCACCCGGTGGCGGGTTGAAATACTCCTCGACCTCATCACCTTGTCGAGGGATAGAAAGTCAGCTTCTCGAACACCCCATCAAGGACAAACTGTCCATTCGTTCCCGCAACCTCACACCGCTCATTCAGCCGGCCCGCATCATAGCTGCCACTGAGGTGTCCAACGACACCGTTCTTAAATTTGAGGTTAATCGAAGCATTGCTCCAATTCTGCCTGCCCGGTGCGCGTACTGCAAACGCATGTACCTTCTCCACCTCACCACAGAAGTACATCATTACGTCGAGTGAGTGCGGGTGCAAGGCTCTGAGATGGAAGAACGGGGAGGTCTCGTTCGGATTTTCGATCCACAGTGCCATGTTGATGAAGAGCAGATCCCCCTAGTTACCGTTCGTTACCCACTCCTTCGCTTGCATCGCTAACGGTGTGAAGCGGTGATTGAGATTTGTTCCCAAACAGACGTTCTTCTCCCTCGCCTTGTTGACCATCTCCCGCGCACGAGCGACATCGTTCGATAGCGGCTTTTCGCATAGCACATGAAGCCCCGCCTCAAGTGCCTGCATCGTCGGCTCAAAATGAGCCCCACCGTTTTCAAAGCCGCCTGTCGCAACGCTGACTGCGTCAGTGATTCGTTTTCCAAGAGGGAGGGAACGCTGTAATATGCCTTGACCCCTAGCCGTTGCGCCGATTCGTCCGCCCGCTCTTTGACCATATCGCACACAGCAACCAATGATGTCGCTGCATGTTCATGATAGACGTTGGCGTGTGTGTTTCCTATCCCTCGCATTCCAATAACTGCTACGCGTAATGCCATATAAACCCTCCATTAGCCGTTTGCCGGACTCCGTCTGAAGTGCGTAATTCCTATATGGATGATAGCAAAGCAAGTTTAACATCTTTTGCCCTTGCGGTGCAAGGGCTTGGTTACAAATTCCCGCTTGGATCTGAATCGCTTTGACAAGAGCTACAAATCGTGCTATAATCCGTGTTCGCAACCCGCTGATTTTCAAGGCGGGTTCAGCACTTCGAAATCGCAGGAGATATAATATGCCACTTGGAAGAAAAATACGTTATGGAATGGTCGGCGGTGGTCCAGACGCATTCATAGGAGCGGTTCATCGAAAGGCTGCAGCGCTCGACGGGGAAATCGACCTTGTCGCTGGAGCGTTCTCTGCATCACCTGAAAAATCGCAGCAACAGGGGGCTGAGTTGTTACTTGACCCTAACCGCGTATACGACTCATATCAGGAGATGGCGGAAAAAGAGAGTGCCTTGCCAGAAGGGGAGCGTATCGACTTCGTGTCCATTGTGACGCCAAACCACGTTCATTTTGAGGTCGCTAAAACATTCATCGAAGCAGGATTTCATGTCGTTTGCGATAAACCGATGACAACGACGCTAGAAGATGCGGAAGCACTTTGCGGGTTAGTGAAGCAGCACGATGCGGTCTTTGTGTTGACGCATAACTACACCGGTTATCCGATGGTAAAGCAAGCCCGTGAGTTGGTATCACAGGGACTGCTCGGATCGGTTCGGAAAATTGTTGTTGAATATCCACAGGGATGGCTCGCAACATTCTTGGAGGGCGAAGGTGCAAAGCAGGCAGTTTGGCGGACAGACCCAAGCCAAGCGGGGGTTTCATCCTGTATCGGGGACATTGGATCACATGCAGAAAATCTCGCTCACTACATTACTGGCTTAGAGTTAGAGGAGATCTGTGCGGACTTGACTACCTTCGTTGAGGGTAGACAGTTAGAAGATGATGGGAATATCCTAGTCCACTATAAAGGCGGCGCACGGGGAGTGCTGTACGCCTCGCAGATCTCAGTCGGTGAAGAGAATAATCTTCGTATCCGTGTCTATGGTACGGCGGCTTCGCTCGAATGGCATCAGGAAAATCCGAATTATCTCTATGTTCGTTTTCCAGATGGTCCTGAGCATGTGTATAAGCGTGGCAACGACTACGTCGCCCCAATTGCAGCGCACAATTCACGACTACCCTTTGGGCATCCGGAGGCATTCATAGAAGCGTTTGCGAACGTTTATGTCAACGCTGCACGCACGCTTGCTGCAAAACTCACCGGCGAAACGCCAGATGCGTTTGACACAGATTTTCCAACGGTGCAGGATGGAGCGCGAGGCGTTCACTTCATCCACAAAAGCAGTGGAAAGCGGCAACAAACGGGGATGGGTAGACGCAAGCTATACACCACCAGCATAAAGCGAAATGTAATACCTATCATCCTTTGGGATTGGCGAATTCCTTATTAACCAATCCCTTATTTTTTACGACTTAATACAAGGAGGAATAAGATGGCAAGACCTGTAACACTATTTACGGGGCAGTGGGCAGACTTATCACTTGAAGATTTAGCGCAAAAAGCCAGTGATTGGGGATATGATGGACTGGAATTGGCATGTTGGGGAGATCACTTTGAAGTTGATAAAGCCCTCGAAGACGATGGCTATTGCCAAGGACGACATGACCTCTTAGCAAAATACGGACTGAAGGTCTGGTCAATTAGTAATCATCTTGTCGGACAGGCGGTTTGTGACAATATTGATAGCCGACATGAAGCCATCCTGTCACCCGCTATCTGGGGACGATGGCGATCCCGAAGGGGTTCGTGGACGTGCTGCCGAAGAGATGAAAAAGACTGCTCGCGCTGCAGCAAAACTCGGCGTGAGCGTCGTCAACGGATTTACTGGCAGCAGCATTTGGCACCTGCTCTATTCTTTCCCCCCCAACGACCCGGCTCAAATCGATGCAGGCTTTGAGGACTTCGCCAATCGTTGGAATCCAATTTTTGACACTTTGATGAAGTCGGGATTAAGTTCGGGCTTGAAGTCCATCCGACCGAGATTGCCTTCGACATCGTGAGTTCGGAGCGCGCCATCGAAGCAGTCAATGGACGTGAAACGTTTGGGTTCAACTACGATCCAAGCCATCTTGGTTATCAAGGTGTTGATTACGTCGCATTTATCGAGCGGTTTAGCGATCGCATCTACCACGCCCACATGAAGGATGTGTGGTGGTCGTCGACACCGCGTCTCTCTGGTGTCTTTGGTGGACACCTGAATTTCGGCGATGCCCGGCGGTATTGGGATTTCCGGTCAATCGGTCGCGGCAACATCGATTTTGAAGAAATCATCCGTGCGCTCAATAATATTGAATATGATGGACCTCTCTCCATCGAATGGGAGGACAGCGGCATGGATCGGGAGCACGGCGCACGGGAAGCGTGTGCCCAAGTCAAAAGCTACGACTTTGAGCCCTCCGCTCGCGCGTTTGATTCGGCGTTTGAAGAGTAGTCGTGGGCTGTAATTAATTCTCGGAAATCAATTTTCTATTTCGGAGGAAGAATGGAAGCAATGGATTCTTTCCATTCTTCCCCTTTGCGCGAATCATGACTGATAGGCAGAAAACAATGACAAGCCGAAAACAGGAAAATCTCGTGATTGAACAGCGTGGCAGACGGAAGGATCGGGATACAGGTGCGTTTCAGGAGATTCATCAAACCGCCCACTGGGATCCGCGACAAACGGGGCTCATTATCTGTGACATGTGGGATGACCATACGTGTAAATTTGCTGCTCAACGTGTCGCGGAGATGGTCCCAACGATGAACCGAATGGTGTCAGCAGCACGAGAGGCCGGTGTGTTCATCATTCATGCACCAAGCGGCACGATGTCGTTTTATGATGAAACGCCGCAACGCCGTCGCGCCATTGAAGCACCATTTGCCGAATCTCCGGTGGAAATCAAGTGGAACTATTGGGATCCTGAACGTGAAGGGGAACCACTGCCTTTCATACTGAGTGGTGGGTGCGGCTGTATCGAGCCGTGTCTTGGTTGGATCACCGACGATAAGGGAAGTCGACAATGGAAGGGTGGGAGAGGTGCCTTGGACCCGACAGATTGACACGATCGAAATTGCCTCCGAGGATGCAATCAGCGACGACGGTCAAGAGGTTTATAATCTAATGCAGGAACGTGGTCATCGACAATATAATTTTGATGGGCGTCCACACCAATATCTGCGTTTCTGGACGACCATTTGGGCTAAGGCAGATGGCTACCATGGGAAAAACGTGGTGCTATGCCGCGACCTGACGGATTCATTCTTTCAACCCGTATCTCCTGAGTTTAGTCACTTTCGCGGAACTGATCTGATAGTCGAGCACATTGAAAAGCATCTGTGCCCGACGATCATCTCGACAGGGTTTACCAAAGAGACCGCATTTCGCTTCAGGGAAGACACTGCCACTTAGGAGTGAGAATCTAATCATTCCTAATTTATTTTGTTTCGGGTGGTTCCGGCTCCGGCAAGCGATGAACCTCGTTGCCCTCCACATTGGTCCCCAGCATGATCAGTTCGCAAGGTTCCGTCCCGAAGTTTCTAAAGATATGGTACGCGCCAGTCGGCTTAAAGACAGAATCACCTTGTTCAATACGATACCACTCCCCTTCAATATGGATATGGCATGAACCACTCAGCACGTAGAACCACTCCTCCTCTTTGGTATGGGTATGGTATTTCGTATTTGTCTCGCCGGGCGGAATCCGTGTCAACCGCACTTCAAACTGTTCTGCGGCGTGTTCTTGCCACAGTGGTTTGAAGTCGCCATACTGTTTTTCCTCACCGGGAAAGAACTTAGGCTGCCATGGCATCTCGTTGGTTTTTACGATGTATTTCATGGGATGGCTCCTCGCAAAGTGATTGATTGTTTGTTATCAAGTTAGATTATCAGAATATTCCGTTCTAAAACCCCGTCATTTATGGCGGGGATACAGACCGGCAAACCCCGTAGTTAGTCAAAAAAGTTGAAATTGCAGGTGAAAAATGGTATAATCCCCACCAGAAACGGACTCACCCTTGAAAACTATTAGCAATGGTTTTCCCACTCTCCGACGGGAGCGTGTTGTGGTATGTCGTCTCGTCAAAGTTGCCCGTGAGGGCAGTGGGCAGGGCGTTGTCCATTGCGTTAGCGATATGTAAGACGGACTTCGGTTCGCAGTCGTGTTTGACCGCACAATTAAGCAACCTATCGGGATGGGACATAAGAATCCTCACCCTTTAGGGTGTGGGAGTACGTCAAATAGGTATTGTCGGGCACCGCTTCAGTCCCAACGAACCTTTTACATCCATTCAGAGAGGTCAACACGCTCACCGGTTTCCGCCGCAATATAAGCCCCGTAGCACACAGCGAGGATGTCCCGTCCCAACTCCACTGTGCTTTTGGGCGGTCGTCCATAAGCGATCGCTTGGCAGAAGTCAGAGAGTTCGTGTGGGAAACCGTTCATCCAATCCTCATCGGGATTGGTCAGTTGCCAACCAGCGCGGGTCTCTACCTTCTCCCGAATGTAGGTATCACCCAAAACGTGATCGCTCGGTGTGTATGTCAACATCCCCGTGTTCGGGTTGATGTTGCACTGAACCACAGCTTTGCTTGAATAGACCGTCATAACGTTTTGGATACCACCAAGCACAATATCTGACGCGGTAATCTGCGCGATGGTGTCGTCGTCAAACGTAATGATCATCGATCCCCAATCCTCACAATCTTTCCAACCTTCTTTGATCCATTTCTCGTCCTCATTGACAAAACTTTCAATATGTGTCAGGTTTGCGACCTCTGCGACAACGCTCTTGGGTTTGATGGGTTTCCCGTACTTTCGCTGCCCTTCGTTGTATTTCAGATAGAGTGTCGCGCCAACGGGATGACAGCCCTTGTTGAAAGGGCACCGCCCCCGGAGTATCGCCACTCCTTAGCATACTCAGAATGAGATCCGCTGTGCGACTCTTCAGCACTGATACGGAGGATAGTGTTGTCGCTCTGCGCGAGGATGTCGTTTGCCTTCTGCACGCTTGGTGCGTGCACCCAGTTCTCCCCGTAACAGAACGTCACGCCGTTGCGTTTAACAACGTCCACCATTTCGTCGGCTGCCTTTAGTGCGGCTTCAAACATCTTGCGCCGGGGTGTCTCGCGTCCCACAAGCGTCTCCCCACCATCACCAAAATAGCCCGTCAACGGCTTTTCACAGATAATGTGTTTGCCGGCTTCGGCTGCCTGAACGGTTAGCGGATAGTGGGAGGTAATTGGGGACGCAGAGATCAACGATAGTTACTTCTTCGTCCGCAAACAAGGCTTCCGCTGTAGGATAAACTGTTTCCAGATTATGTTCTTCGGCAAAGGCACTAGCACTCTCTTGGCTCCTAGCGGTGACTCCCTTGATTCGGATGTCGAGGCCAGGGACAAGTCGATAGTTATGGACGTGAAATGTTGCGGAAAAGCCAGCACCGATCATGCCGATGACAATAGGATTGGTATCCATAGCATTTCTTTTTCCTCACTTGAGTTATTTGACTGCTCCCAAACCTGAAGGCTTGGGATTCTTATGATAGACTGAACAGTAGAGTTGCTCTGTGCTATTCATCATTTTTTATATCATGGCTTCGATTTGGCGTCAACAGAAAACTTCATGGTGTTACCCGAATGGCATGGACTTCACGATCTAGCCAAAATCACATGCCTAAGACTGGCGTGAGTCGCTGAAGCAACTTCCATGAACAATAAGTATTTTGCACGCTAATTTTTTTATTTACTTAAACGCCCTCCAACACCTCCCGCCGTAACATTGCCTCAACAATTCGAGCTTCGTAACATGAGTTCGGCGTAAGTATGCCGAACTCCTTCAATTAACCACAAAGACACAGGGCATGAAGGGCAGGCACAAAACCAGCCCCAGCAAGGGAAACCCCAACGAGAAGATGGGGATGGGTTTCTCAATTTGCAATTTGCGATTTGTAATTCTTCCCCGCTCCCTATCTCCTCGTTCCCTATATCGAACTGACGTTTCGTAGTACCGCTGTTTCGTCTTGACTTACGAGTTTTTCGCATGTTATTATTTAGCATGCTAAATAAATAACAAGGCCTTTACTCCGTATAATTTCGTTGCATATTCTTTCTTTATAGGAAGGACTCACAATGGTTCTAGATCAAAAAGATATACGGGATGAAGTGCTTATGGCACTCAGATGCATCATGCGGGCAATCGATCTCTATTCGAGTCATCTCGCGCGCTACCACGGGTTGACAGCACCTCAACTTATCGTCCTGGGTGAAATTTCACGGTCGAGGAAGATAACAGCGGGTCAATTGGCGGAAAACGTCAACCTTAGCAATGCAACGGTCACCGGAATACTCAACCGGCTTTCAAAGCGCGGCTTGATAGAGCGAAGACGCGCCGATGAGGATAAGCGCAGTGTTCTCATAAAACTCACCGATTTTGGGCAAAAGGGCACTTGCGAATGCCCCATCGCTACTCCATGACCGTTTCGTGAAGGAATTTGAGGAACTTGGGAATTGGGAACAAACATCATTACTTTCATCCCTTCAAAGAATTGCTTCGATGATGGAGGTGAAAAACCTTGATGCCGTGCCAACGCTTGTCAGCAGGGAAATCTCTGAGGTCACCGAAGATCCCCTTGCCGATCCAGTTCAAGATGATTCAGAGTAAACCCAAAATAAGGAGATCAAAATGTCAGTTGTTTATCTTGAAGATATCGTTAAGATTGTTGGTAACAAATACCTAGCGGTTCATATTGCCGGCCTACGTGCGCGTCAACTGAATAAAAAGGAGGCTTCCCTCTTTACTCCGGTTTCACCCCGGAAACCGGCGTCAGAAGCCATCGAAGAACTCATTGAGGGGAAAATTGAGTACAGTCAATCGGATTCAGGCCCGGAAAACTAGATGATCCGTTTGATGTCAAGGAGAGAGATATACCTTAATGATTGAAATCAGGCAGAGGCGTTGCCGGTTTCTAACGTTGCAAAAAGAGATTCCGCCAGAAGGGGAGATGTTGATGTGTTAGGCGACATCAGTGATGGTGTCTTTTCTTATCTTCAGGAAATTGCACAAACGCCTCAATTGACACATAAGGAAGAAAGAAAACTCTTTGAAGCGTTTTCAGCGAGTACGCAGGAGATTTCAGAATTATTGGGAAAGCTTCCGCCCCAGTGCAGCGAAACGGATGTATCGGTTGTAATTCTCTTACCAATGCGGTTAAAGTATTAGCAAAGATTGGCACTTCTAAAGCCCTAATCGCTGTTAAAAATGCCCGAAAAGTCGTAATAACGTTAGTTCAACGTCAGCCAAAAGGTCCTGTTTGTACGAACAATTGATTGGCGGCATAATTAGCAAAGCAATTAGCAAAACATCATCGAGCTGAGAGTACGACTTGGCTCAACAGACTCAAGGAGTACTTCCAGTGAATTTTGAACAATTTTCTTTTGACCGGCGCATTGTCGCCCGAATTAAAGCAGTCAATTACACTACGCCTACCCCGATTCAGCAGCAAGCCATCCCCATGGTGCTCGAAGGGCATGATGTGATGGGTTTAGCCCATACCGGCACCGGTAAAACCGCAGCCTTCATGCTGCCTATTTTACAGCGGTTAACCAAAGGCCCGTTCCGTCGCGTACGCGCCCTCATTGTTGCGCCCACACGCGAACTCGCTGAACAGATTTATCAGATGGGCATTGATCTTGGCAAAAATACCGAAGTGAACAGCGTACCCATCTACGGCGGTGTGAGCAAAGTTTCTCAGGTCTCGCGGCTGCGGCGTGGCGTAGAGATTGTTATTGCTTGTCCTGGTCGCCTGCTTGACCTCGTTTATGATGGCGATATCGATCTATCGCGCGTTGAGGTGCTGGTGTTGGACGAAGCTGATCGCATGTGCGATATGGGCTTCCTCCCCGATATTCGCCGCATCCTCAAGCTACTGCCGGCCCAACGCCAGACACTTTTCTTCTCAGCCACAATGCCAAAGGACAGCCGCGAACTGGCAGATAATATCCTCAAAGATCCGGTCATAGTTCAAATCGGTAAGAGTGCTCCGGTGGAGACCGTTTCACACGCGTTCTATCCGGTGCCCGATAGCCTCAAGAAAGATCTTCTGCTGGCAATGTTGCAACAGACGCCCACCGGCCGGGTCTTGATCTTTACCCGCACCAAGCATCGCGCCCGTAACCTGGCACGCGACGTGGAAAAGGGTGGTTATCACGCAGCAGCGCTGCAAGGTAACATGTCGCAGAGTCAGCGGCAGAAAGCGATCAATGGCTTTCGCCATGGGAGATACGACATTCTCGTCGCCACGGACGTTGCTTCGCGCGGCATAGACGTGTCGGAAATATCGCACGTGATCAACTTCGATATCCCCGATACTGTCGATGCCTACACTCACCGGATTGGTCGCACCGGTCGCGCCCACCGGTCTGGTGAAGCATTCACGCTTGCCGGACGAGCGGATGAGGAGATGATACGAGACATTGAAAAACTGCTGGGGACACAAATCGAACGGCGGCGGTTACCTGATTTTGATTACGGTAGTTTCGTACCGGAAAGCCAATTCCAGAAGAACCATTCAAAGCCGCTACGAAAGACACTATCACACCACAAGCGAAACCATATTCGCCCCAATAAAGGTAGGAATAGCCCACGTCGCCGTATCCACTCACAATAGACAAAGAAAGGAATATAACTGCAAGTGTCTTTCCCTGATACTACACGTCACGCCGATGAGACTGACACCATTTACCCCGGAGTCATCCCCTTCGCACTCATTCATCTTGCCTGTTTTGCGGTCATCTGGACCGGTTTTCAGGCTTCAGACCTTATGCTTTGTGGCGTATTGTACGCCATCCGCATGTTTGCCATTACGGGTGGCTATCATCGATATTTTTCACATCGTTCCTTCAAAACCAGCCGTGTATTCCAATTCTTGCTCGCGTTCGTTGCACAGTCGTCGACGCAACAGGGCGCGCTTTGGTGGGCAGCCCACCACCGCAAACATCATAAATACTCCGATACCCCACAAGACGTACACTCGCCACTTCAAAGCGGTTTCTGGTTTGCCCACTTCGGTTGGATTTTTTCGGCAACCAAGAGTCAAGCGGATTACGACCTGATGAAGGATTTTATGAAATTTCCCGAGCTCGTTTGGCTCAACAAGTACAAACACGTACCACCAGTGCTGTTGGGAGTCGGGGTGTGGTTGGTTTCCGGTTGGTCTGGACTGGTGGTCGGTTTCTTCATCAGTACGATGCTCCTCTTTCACTGCACATTTGCGATTAACTCGCTGGCTCACCTTATCGGCAAACAGTCTTACGTCACCGGGGATGACTCGCGCAACAACTGGTTTCTGGCACTCATCACCTTTGGTGAAGGGTGGCACAACAACCACCACTACTTTCAAGGTTCAACCCGACAAGGGTTCCACTGGTGGCAGATCGATTTCACATATTACGTTTTGAAGTTCTTGGCGTTTTTTAGAATTGTTTGGGACCTTCGCGCCCCACCTGCCACCGCAGTTCAAGGGATACGTGGAATGCCACGAAACGTCATGGAACGAGTCGCCCAACGGTTGGCGACGAGTTTCCCGATTGAAGCTATCAGTGAGCAAATTCGCCAAGCATGGGCACACACACCCAGATTTGAAGAGCTACGCCAACATGTCCGCCAATCCCGGCCAGCCGCTCACGCTTTTCTCACCGAGATTTGTCGTTCCGATCTGCCAACAATGGCATCTCTGAAACATCACGCGCAAGAGATGTTTGCTCATAACCAACATATGGATCTGATTGTTGCCCGTGCCCATGAGATGGTCGTTGACGCTATTTTAAAGCATCTGTTCCACGATTTACCATCGCCTATGCCACAGGCTAAACATCTCTCCTAATTGGACCATCGAGACACAGAGGCACAGAGGATATATGTGGCAGAAAAGCAATGGGGTATTGGAGTTCTGGGGTGATAGGGTAATAACAAAGCCCCAGCAGTCCGAGACCTCTCCTGAGTTTTATCTCTTGAACGAGTCATAATAACGATTGGTTTTCAGCAATTTTCTCTCACAACAAAATCCTTAAGTTCGTGCTATTCTGGTGTTACCCAGTTTCAGTCCAGCAGTCCCCAAAGCTGCTTTCGTCCGTCACTCCAACTTTCCCAGTCGTCGAAAAAAATGTACTTCAACGCCTCTACATCGCGTTTTCTGCCGCCGGCGGGAAAGTAGTTCCAACCCATCGCCCGGCGAGGACCGGCAGCCGTTTTGACACCCGTGGCGTGCCAGCAGCTCGGTGTCCAAACCAACGTCCAGCGTGGATCGAGGAGGACCTCAACCTCGGCAGGGTGCTTCGCATAAAGCTCCTTTGGCGAAAGATCGTGCTGCCCTGTAGCGATTTCCAACTGTAACAGTTCTTCCCAAATCTCTTCCCTCGCTCTCAGATGGCTGCCCGGCAAAATACGCAGTGGCGCATTCGTTGGATCGTGTCGATCTAGTCCCGTCCGGAAAGACACCTGTTTAACATCAGGACCGCCATCGGCGTGCCAATAAACCTGTCGGTGTAGACCTCGACTCTCGGAGATAGCCTTCAGCGCATCTCCCAATCCGCAGGCTCCTACATGTACCTGCTCGCAGTTTAGCAAGCGTTTAGCAATCTCGACGAGTTGTGGTTGCTCCACTATCTGGAGGATTGGCTCTCCTACCGTAAGAAATTGGCAGGCAAGCTTATTCAGTCCATTGGGCCAATCTGCGTTTGCCCACTTTTCCTCATTTTCCACAGTGCCCCCCTCAATTTCGCGCATCCGTTCTTCACCAAAAGGATTGGATACAAAGAAGAATCCGTGCGTGTGAAAATGATCCACCTGTGCTGTGGTAATCTCCATGATTGTTTCATCTCCCTTCGCAAATTGGACTGTCTATTTTATTCTCCTCACTACGAGTAACAAATCCGAAGGCAATACAACTCAGCTTCCGATTTCGCAAGTTCAGCATGATAACCTTTGGGCAGCGCAAGCACGTTATTGTGACGGACGCTCATGGATTGCTCAAATGAACCTATCTCACTGTAGATGCGCTGAGAGGCGTGCCCGTCCGCGGGTGTGAGACGATAGAAACAAATCGCTTCGCCAGAGATTAAGTGAGCAGGTGCTTCGCTGACGATCAACGCATGTTCGCCACGGTTGAAATCGTCGCCCGGTTCGAGGATAACAGCCGCCGTTTCAAGAAAGGAGGGCGCTCTACAGACTGCGACTTCGACAGGCTCCTCATGTGCGAGAATTTCGTATGTTGTCCGATAAGGGATAGATGCACAATACGCCTCGCCGTCAAAGACATCTGCACGGTCACCGATAAGTCCGTGGGCTTTATTCCCGTTATGCCCAACAAGCAATTCGCACCGGCCGCCGAGTATAACCAGCGTAACCTCATTATCTCCGGTGTCTTCAAAGAAAGATCCGCCAACGTCAAGGTTGAGAACGCCGAACTCAAGGCACGTTATTCCCATTTCGCCAACTTCAATAATTCGGGTATATCCTTTATCCAGTCTGTATTTTTTGTATAGGTTCATTTCTGATTTGCCCATTTAGACGGACTCGATTGGTGGTTTGTATATTTTAATTGCATTATATCATCAAAGACATTCATGAACAATCGAAAATAGAACTTACTGCTAGTTGCCCCATTTTTGAGCGACGTGTCGGGATTCGGAGATCCCTCCTACAGGAGGATTAAATGCCCCTAACCTCTAAGAATTGGCGATTGACAATTCGCCCACGACTCGCTATAATTGACGCACTCATTCGGGATGCAATAGGAACAGAGAAGGAAAGCAAATATTTACCCAATGGAGAACTGTGATGAAACAGATTGATGGCGGAATAACCGCAGTACCGGGGTTGAAGGCGACCGGCGTCCACGCTGGACTGAAGCCGGACAATGAAAAGGATGTTGCTTTGATAGCAGCGGATGCGCCGGCGGTTGCGGCGGGTGTCTTCACGAAAAATCGCGTTTGCGCCCCAGTCGTTTTGGTGTGTCGTGAAAATCTCAGCGACAGTGCAGGTCAAGCGATTGTCGTCAACAGCAAGAACGCTAACGCATGTACGGGCGAGGTCGGCATGAAGAACGCACGACGGATGGCCTCGCTGGTAGGGGAAGCGCTCGGCATCGATCCAAGCCTCGTATTAGTCGCTTCGACGGGAGCGGGAGTATCCGGGAGCCCGTTCCGTTGCCCTGGCTCCAATTACTCCTGGCCATGTCCGCTGCGCCGGG